CATTCTGCTTGCCTTGGGTCGGCTATTCCGCCCTCGGTAGGTTCCCCTGCTTCCCCTGTCAAAACCCCAGACCTCTCTTCAGTCCCTGAGGAGTACTTGGACCTGGCTGAGTTTACAGACAATGAAGACTCCAGCAATCCTGAACCTGTTCTGCCCGCTTCCTGTTTGGTGGCGGCGGTTCACTGGGAAATCGAGTCCCTCGTCCGATCGGCACAAGAGTCGGAACCTGGACCGGCCGATGGCCCCCCCGACCTTCTCTATGTTCCCGCAGCAGTGCGGCCGCAAGTGCTCAACTGGATCCACACCTCACGCTTCTCCTGCCACCCTGGTATGAACCGTACACTGTCGCTACTGAAGAGGCACTTTTGGTGGCCATCCGTCGAGACTGACGTCCGGGAGTACGTGGCGGCCTGCTCCATCTGTGCCCAAAATAAGGCTTCCCACCGGGCTCCTTCGGGCCTGCTGCGGCCTCTCCCAGTCCCGAGTCGTCCTTGGTCTCACGTGGCCTTGGACTTCGTCACTGGACTTCCTATGTCTGAGGGTAATGACACCATACTCACCATCGTGGACAGATTCTCTAAATCTGCCCATTTTGTTGCATTACCAAAATTACCGTCTGCCAGTGAGACGGCCGACCTCTTTGTCCTACATGTATTCCGTCCCCATGGAATACCTGTGGACATAGTGTCCGATAGAGGTCCACAGTTCATTTCTCGGGTATGGAAGGAGTTTTGTTCTGCTCTGGGTGCCTCTGTCAGTCTCTCATCAGGGTTCCATCCCCAGTCCAATGGCCAGACTGAGAGGACCAATCAGGACCTGGAGGCTGCTCTACGCTGTGTGACATCCCAGAACCCGTCCACCTGGGCCAAACACCTCCCGTGGGTCGAATATGCCCACAATTCCCTCACCTCATCTGCCACCGGCCTTTCACCATTTGAGGCGGCTTTGGGGTACCAACCGCCATTGTTCCCGTCTCAGGAAAAGGAGTTAACCGTCCCGTCAGTTCAGGATAACCTTCGTCGCTGCCGCAAGGTGTGGGTGGACACCCGTGAGGCCCTTCTACGGACAGCAGAGCGCAACAAGAGAGTGGCGGACAGGCACAGGGTAGTCGCTCCCCAGTTCCAGCCTGGTCAGCGAGTCTGGCTCTCCTCCAGCAACATTCCCCTGCGCACTGACTCCCGTAAGCTGTCGCCCCGATATTTGGGTCCTTTTGAGGTCGAATCCATCATCAACCCTTCGGCTGTTCGGTTGAAGCTTCCCCAGGCCATGAGAGTCCATCCTACATTTCACGTGTCCCAGCTGAAGATGGTCTCCTCCAGTCCTTTGTGTCCGCCGGCGGATCCCCCTCCGCTACCGCGCATTATTGACGACCATCCAGCCTACACGGTTCGGAGACTGCTGGACGTCCGGAGGCGTGTTAGAGGGTTTCAGTACCTGGTGGACTGGGAGGGATACGGTCCCGAGGAGAGGTCCTGGATTCCCAGACGTTTTATTCTGGATCCTCAGCTAGTGAATGACTTCCATAGGGACCACCCTGACAAGCCGGGTGGGTCGCCGGGTGGCGCCCGTTGAGGGGGGGGTACTGTTACGGTTCGGCTCTGTTGGTCCTGTTCCTGTTGGTGTTCCTTTCCCTTTTCTCCCCTGTGTGTGTTGTTTGTGTCTGTCTCCCCCTGCTGTGCAGTCAGAGGTTCTAGGTCAGCGGGCGTGGCCATTCTATCACCAGAGCAGTTACATCAAGCTGCAGCTCATTGGCACCAATCAAGCAGCAGATATCTACCCGGGCTGGACACCTCTCCAGCGCCAGTTCGTTCCTACACTTCCAGTGGTAACTTGGCCCGTACAGCACTCTCAGTGTAGTTGTACTCTCTCAGTATTATTGTTGTTCCTGCCACGTTTTGTAACCTGTCTCTCCTTCGACCAGATCTCGTCTGTTCCTGCTGCCTGCTTGCCTGCCTGCCTGCCTGCCATTCCCACGCCGCTACCTGCTCCTCTGTTGCCTGATATCCTCGTTATCCAGCTCTCAGGACTACTGGCTCTCCACTCCACTCAGCTCCTACCCCAGCCTGAAGCTATTCCACCCTGACTACTTACCTCTGCCAATACACGTTGAATAAACTACATCCTAATTTTACTCTCTTTGTCCGTGTGTCCGTCTCTGCACCTGAGTCCCCCACCCAACCTAACAATATACACACTCACTAGACTATATATACACACTATGTACACACTCACTAGACTATATACACACTCACTAGACCAGGGGTGTCAAACGTCCGGCCCGCGGGCCGGATCAGGCCCGCAAACGGGTTTAATCCGGCCCGCGAGATGATTAAAAAAAAAAAAAAAAAAAAAAAGTATAATAATTTTGTAAAGTATAAAAATGCGCTGCAATTTTTCAATAAAATAAACTGCTGTTCCAATTGCGTCCACTGGATGGCGCAATAGCAATTGTGTTAAGCAAGCAAACTGTTTATACCGGGGCAGAGCAAGTAGGACAAGCACGTGCAGCCAATGAGCTACTTTGTTTTGCCCGCGATATTTATTACGGCTTCTACTTTTAACATTATGTGCTTTGGCACCCTCATTGCCCCAATATGTCTCTGTCAAAAAATAGAAAAGTGGACGCAGAGTGCAGAGTGTTCCAAGAAAAATGGTCATCCTATTTATGCTGAAAGAATATAACCTTTGTCGCCACTATGTGAGTCTTCATGCCGACCAATATGACAACTTTCAAGGACAGCGGAGATGAGAGAAGGTGAATGAACTGTTGGTGGGTCTGAAGAAACAGCAGTCTGTGTTTACTCACAGCCGAGACATCAGTGACGCTGCAGTGAAAGCTAGCTACCTCATTGCTAATGAAATCGCAGTGGCTTCAAAACCATTTAGTGAGGGTGAATTTGTAAAAACATGCATGATGAAGGCAGCGGAGATTGTGTGCCCTGAAAAGCGGCAGGCTTTTGCAAATATCAGCCTGACAAGAAACACAGTTGCAGACAGGATTTCCGATCTTTCAGTGGATTTGGACAGGCAGTTGAAGCAAAAAGTAAAGTCATTTATTGCGTTTTCGGTTGCAATTGATGAAAGCACGGACATTACAGATGTTGCACAACTGGCCATTTTCATCCGCGGAGTTGATGACACATTGACCGTCACCGAGGAGTTTGTGGAGTTGGTGCCGATGACAGATACAACGACAGCAGCTGATATTTTTACCGCACTCGTCGGCGCGCTGGACAGGGTCGGAGTAGACTGGTCCCGCGCTGTTAGCCTGGCTACAGATGGTGCGCCCTCAATGATCGGGAAAAAAGCAGGCGTTATGACAAAGTTCAGAGAGAAAGTGAAATCTGCAAATGGAGGACGTGATTTTTTGACTTTTCACTGTATTTTGCACCAGGAGGCTTTGTGTTGCAAGTCATTAAAGATGGATAACGTCATGAAGGTGGTCATCCAAACTGTTAATTTCATCCGATCCAGAAGCCTGAATCACCGTCAGTTTGACAGCCTTCTCAGAGAGAAAGACCACATCTATGGCCTGCCATACCACACTGAGGTAAGATGGTTAAGCCGAGGTGCTGTGCTGAGGCGTTTCTTTGATTTACGAGAAGAAATTGAACAGTTCATGGAAGAAAAGGGCAAACCAGTGTTAGAATTTCATTCCGCAGAATGGATGCCGGACCTTGCATTTATGGTGGATGTTACAAAGCACCTGAATAACTTGAACAAACAGCTGCAAGGGCGCAACAAAGTTGTCACGCAGTATTATGACAGCATACGTTCTTTCAAGTTGAAGCTGTCATTGTGAGAGACGCAACTTGCCGGTGGTGATGCAGCTCACTTCCCCTGTCTGAAAAATGTGTGCGCGACCCAACATGTGGCAGACATGAAGCGGTTCAAAGATAAAATAACGGGACTGTTACGGGAGTTTGAGCAACGCTTTCAGATTTATGTTCATATTTTTATGTTGATGTGCTATTGTTTTTAATTGATTTTATTTTATTTGTATATTTAACCTATTCTTGACTCTGTGGTTCTTGCACTTGTTTGGGGAACAGGATTTCATTATTTTTATCTACATTTCTGCCTGAGAAATGACACCCTGATATAGTTCTGTGATCTGTGAAACAGTTCTGTTAATCACTGAGGCATTGTGTGTTTGTGTTCTTTTTCTTTAGAATTTTCAAATAAACTTGACGTGTTTTATGATTAATAGTGATGTTGTGCTTGTACTATTTTGGACACACTGTCCTCAGGCTCCAGCTTTATGTTGTATGTTGATCGTATTAAAACAAAGAAAACAATCTGAAGTTGTTGTTTTGAAGTTATATATACCATGATTTTTCCGGTCCGGCCCACTTGGGAATAGATTTTCCTCCATGTGGCCCCTGAGCTAAAATGAGTTTGACACCCCTGCGTTACAGACTTATTCTAAAATGGATTAAATCAATCAGTCTACACACAATACCCCATAATGACAAAGCGAAAACAGGTTTTAGAAATACCTCATTTACATAAGTATTCAGACCCTTTGCTATGAGACTGGAAATTGAGCTCAGGTACATCCTGTCTCAGCCTTATTTACACCTTCATTATCATGTTTCCACCCTGTTTCAGACCAATTTACACCTTCATTACCATGTTTCCACCCTGTCTCAGCCCTAATTACACCTTCATTACCATGTTTCCACCCTGTCTCAGCCCTAATTACACCTTCATGACCATGTTTCCACCCTGTCGCAGCCCTAATTACACCTTCATTATCATGTTTCCACCCTGTCGCAGCCCTAATTACACCTTCATTATCATGTTTCCATCCTGTCTCAGCCCTATTTACACCTTCATTATCATGTTTCCACCCTGTTTCAGACCAATTTACACCTTCATTACCATGTTTCCACCCTGTCTCAGCCCTAATTACACCTTCATTACCATGTTTCCACCGTCTCAGCCCTATTTACACCTTCATCACCATGTTTCCACCCTGTATCAGCCCTAATTACACCTTCATTACCATGTCTCCACCCTGTCTCAGCCCTATTTACACCTTCATTATCATGTTTCCACCCTGTCGCAGCCCTAATTACACCTTCATTACCATGTTTCCACCCTGTCTCAGCCCTAATTACACCTTCATCATCATGTTTCCATCCTGTCTCAGCCCTATTTACACCTTCATTATCATGTTTCCACCCTGTATCAGCCCTAATTACACCTTCATTATCATGTTTCCACCCTATCGCAGCCCAATTTACACCTTCATTACCATGTTTCCACCCTGTCTCAGCCCTAATTACACCTTCATTATCATGTTTCCACCCTGTCTCAGCCCTATTTACACCTTCATTACCATGTTTCCATCCTGTCTCAGCCCTATTTACACCTTCATTATCATGTTTCCACCCTGTCTCAGCCCTATTTACACCTTCATTATCATGTTTCCACCCTGTCTCAGCCCCAATTACACCTTCATTACCATGTTTCCACCCTGTCTCAGCCCTAATTACACCTTCATTATCATGTTTCCACCCTGTCACAGCCCTAATTACACCTTCATTATCATGTTTACACCCTGTCTCAGCCCTATTTACACCTTCATTATCATGTTTCTACCCTGTCTCAGCCCTAATTACACCTTCATTATCATGTTTCCACCCTGTCTCAGCCCCAATTACACCTTCATTACCATGTTTCCACCCTGTCTCAGCCCTAATTACACCTTCATTACCATGTTTCCACCCTGTCGCAGCCCTAATTACACCTTCATTACCATGTTTCCACCCTGTCTCAGCCCTAATTACACCTTCATTACCATGTTTCCACCCTGTCTCAGCCCTAATTACACCTTCATTACCATGTTTCCACCGTCTCAGCCCTATTTACACCTTCATCACCATGTTTCCACCCTGTATCAGCCCTAATTACACCTTCATTACCATGTTTCCACCCTGTCTCAGCCCTATTTACACCTTCATTATCATGGTTCCACCCTGTCCGCAGCCCTAATTACACCTTCATTACCATGTTTCCACCCTGTCTCAGCCCTAATTACACCTTCATCATCATGTTTCCATCCTGTCTCAGCCCTATTTACACCTTCATTATCATGTTTCCACCCTGTATCAGCCCTATTTACACCTTCATTATCATGTTTCCACCCTATCTCAGCCCAATTTACACCTTCATTACCATGTTTCCACCCTGTCTCAGCCCTAATTACACCTTCATTATCATGTTTCCACCCTGTCTCAGCCCTATTTACACCTTCATTATCATGTTTCCACCCTGTCTCAGCCCTATTTACACCTTCATTATCATGTTTCCACCCTGTCTCAGCCCTAATTACACCTTCATTACCATGTTTCCACCCTGTCTCAGCCCTAATTACACCTTCATTACCATGTTTCCACCCTGTCTCAGCCCTAATTACACCTTCATTACCATGTTTCCACCCTGTCTCAGCCCTAATTACACCTTCATTATCATGTTTCCACCCTGTCTCAGCCCTATTTACACCTTCATTATCAGCATCATCATCATCTCTCATCTTCGTCAGGACAACAGTATATCACTTCTGGGTTCAAGACAGACAGACAGAGAGTGGGATATTTAAGTTTACTAAAGTGAATATTTAATTTTGAGGGATCAACACAATGTTTAGCATACAGATAGAGAACGAGGGGCGGAGCGGGGTGGGGGGAGGTTACCTTGGGTGTTGCCGTTGACAACATGCATGGTGGTCTGAGCCATGATTGGTTGGTGTCAGCCGAGCCCCTCGCTCTCAATCCCACAGCAAGACAGATGGGAGTCATGCAAACACCATGCATCAAGTCTGTCTGCTTACCATGTAACCTACAGCCTGGGACACACAGTTATACCAGTCATAAGCTATTATAAAGAGACACAGACAGACAGACAGACAGACAGACAGACAGACAGACAGACAGACAGACAGACAGACAGACATGCAATATGGCATCATATGTAGGGTATGATAATATATAGGGTATGATAATATATAGGGTATGATAATATGTAGGGTATGATAATATATAGGGTATGATAATATGTAGGGTATGATAATATGTAGGGTATGATAATATGTATCACGAGTGGCTTTATATAGAACATTGTCTGGAGGGAAATATGTGTGAAAACACTTGACAGATCCTGAGAGAGTGACCAAAACATTAAACATTAAAATACATGTCCAGAAAGTCCAAAAATGCCATATGTTTTGGTTCTGGCCCAATATATGACTGTAAGTCGCTTTGGATAAAAGCGTCTGCTAAATGGCATATTATATTATATATTATAATATGCTCCTCAACCTCATTCACAAACCGCTATACTACACAAAAGCTTTTGGTACTGAGGTCTGAACACTTCGTATAAAGGTTAGCCCCACTTAACGTGATCAGTTCAGAGTATGGTTCTTCACAGGTGTGCAGCATACATATGACATTATGAACAGAGGTGCTGTGTGTGTGTGCGCGCGTGCGTGTGCGTGTGCTTGCGCGTGCGCGCGTGCGTGCGTGTGCGTGTGTGCGTGCGTGCGCGTGTGTGTGTGTGTGTGCGTGTGTGTGTGTGCGTGTGTGTGTGCGTGTGTCTGCGCTACTCCTATCAATGGACACATTATAAACTTATAACCACAAAGGAGCCATTCTGTCCTGGAAGTAACACCGGGACAAGGCTCAGATTCAGAACCACAGAGAGAGAGGTCCATACGTCAAGAGAGGTAGCGCGCTGACCAAGCTAACCAAGGCTGACCAAGCTAACAGTGTTGACCAAGCTAACCAAGGCTGACCAAGCTAACAGTGTTGACAGTAGGGTGACCAAGCTAACAGTGTTGACAGTAGGGTAACCAAACGAATAGTGTTGACAGTTGGGTGACCAAGCTAACAGTGTTGACAGTAGATTGACTAAGCTAACAGTGTTGGCAGAATGTATATCAAGACTATATCAACACTGTTAGCTTGGTCAACACTGTTAGCTCGGTCACCCTACTGTCAACACTGTTAGCTTGGTCACCCTACTGTCAACACTGTTAGCTCGGTCACCCTATTGTCAACACTGTTAGCTTGGTCAGCCTTGGTTATCTTTAACTTCAGATTCTAGTTTGGTGAGGCCGGGTGCTGCAGACTGTTCTAGTGCCCTCGCCAATTAGTTGATATATATGTTGAAGAGGGTGGGGCTTAAGCTGCATCCCTGTCTCACCCCACGGCCCTGAGGAAAGAAATGTGTGTGTTTTTTGCCAATTTTAACTGCACACTTGTTGTTTGTGTACATAGATTTTATTATGTTGTATGTTTTTCCCCCAACCCCACTTTCCATCAATTTGTATAGCAGACCTTCATGCCAAATTGAGTCAAAAGCTTTTTAAAAAATCAACAAAGCATGAGAAGACTTTGCCTTTGTTTTAGTTTGTCTCTTTGTCCATTAGGGTGTGCAGGGTGAATACGTGGTCTGTTGTATGGTAATTTGGTAAAAAGCCAATTTGACATTTGCTCAGTACATTGTTTTCACTGAGGTTAATGATAATGCAGAGGGTTTTTCCCAAGGTTGCTGTTAACGGATTTCATGTAATGGACATACACAAAATAGTCCAAATTGGTGAAGTGAAATGGAAAAAAATAACTTGTTTCAAAAAATTCGAACAAATAAATCACGGAAAAGTGGTGCGTGCATATGTATCACACCCTTTGCTATGAAGCCCCTAAATACGATCTGGTGCAACCAATTACCTTCAGAAGTCACATAATTAGTTAAATAAAGTCTACCTGTGTGCAATCTAAGTGTCACATGATCTGTCACATGATCTCAGTTTATATATACACCTGTTCTGAAAGGCCCCAGACTTTGCAACACCACTAAGCAAGGGGCACCATGAATACCAAGGAGCACTCCAAACAGGTCAGGGACAAAGTTGTGGAGAAGTACAGATCAGGGTTGGGTTATAAAAAAATATGAATTCTGAAGAACTGTAATATTCTATGTTTCTCCGAGACGTGGCTGAACAAGGACATGGAAAATATAGATTTAGCTGTTTTTCTATACATCGGCAGGACAGAACGGCAGCGTAGGGCAAACTCAGGGGGGTGGTATGTGTCTCTCTGTTAAATATAATAACACAACTCTCTGTTATTATATTTATTATATTATATTATATATATATTATAAATACAACTGGTGCATGACCTCTAATGTTAAGGAAGTCTGGAGGTTTTACTCAGTTAGAATACCTCATGATGAGCTGTAGACCATACAGTTAGAATACCTCATGATGAGCTGTAGACCATCCAGTTAGAATACCTCATGATGAGCTGTAGACCATACAGTTAGAATACCTCATGATGAGCTGTGGACCATACAGTTAGAATACCTCATGATGAGCTGTAGACCATACAGTTAGAATACCTCATGATGAGCTGTAGACCATCCAGTTAGAATACCTCATGATGAGCTGTAGACCATCCAGTTAGAATACCTCATGATGAGCTGTAGACCATACAGTTAGAATACCTCATCATACTACATGTGACCGACCGGCTCGATTTGGTCTTATGTAGCAAAATGTGTGTTTTTTACATTGGATAAAAGTAGAGACTCAGAGCTAGAAAATGGTATATCATACACTACAGTTGAGGAACAATGGGAAAGTAACTCTGGTTTGAAAGTTGATAAACTTGTAACCCCACTTTTGAGAAAATGGCCCTTGAATGTTTCGGGACACCTACTGGAGAGCTCTTCTTTGTCTACACCCATTCAGCATCGTTCACACCCTCTTAAACTATAGCCCCGCCCATCTCTTTAAGGATTCACATGTGAGGCCATGTGCTAAACAGAGTGAGTAGTGTACTAAACAACCAAAGATTTCAAGACTAAAAGCTGGTTTATACTACGGGTGTGTTCATAAATGTAATCTGGAGTGCCAGAGTGTGCTCTGAGTGCGCTCTGGGCGTTCATAAACTCAGAGTGTTATCAGATTGTCAGTTCTTAAATACAGAGTGTTTCACTCTCGGAGCGTTCAAATCAAATCACATTTTATTGGCCACATGCGCCGAATACAACAGGTGCAGACATTACAGTGAAATGCTTACTTACAGCCCTTAACCAACAGTGCATTTATTTTTAATAAAAAAGTAGAATTAAAAAAAACAAAAATTGAGAAAAAAAGAGCAGAAGTAAATTAAAATAACAGTAGGGAGGCTATATACAGGGGGGTACCGGTGCAGAGTCAATGTGCGGGGGCACCGGCTAGTTGAGGTTGTTGAAGTAATATGAGCGCACACTGGACGCTCTGGCCCGAGGAGTAGGGTTGATCCGAGCGTTCTGGCCTCACAACAGCAGTAAAGCACCCAAGCTAACTGGATAACGTTGGCTAGCTTGCTAGCTACTTCCAGACACAAATGAGAGAACAGCTCACTGACCATTTTACTCGCCCTAGCAGAGCTGGTTAGGCTGTTTTTATGTTATCCAGAGCATTGGTGACTAACTGTGCTGCTGGCAACAATTTAATTACGCTTTTTTGCCTACGTTTACTGACACCGCCATATTCAATGGGTGTTAAGTGTTGGTAAATTCATAAGTTATTCTGCGCTCTGGCACATTCAGACGAGAGTGCTCTGAAATCAGAGTAGATAGCCAGAGCAAATTTACCAGCTACGTCTATCGACAGTTGTCGCAGTGACATCATGAACATTCTATTGAAATAGTTACTTGCATAGTGGATTCTTTTGTTTAGACATGTAGCTAGCTAGCTAAACAATGAACCATAATCCCAACTCATATCGTTACTACCCTGCATGAATCTACAGGTAGCTAACCAACCAGATTCAATGTTAGCTAGCTAACATTAGGCTATAACTAGCAATGCAAATGGCTCTGAGATACGAATAATATTACTACACAGATCATACACGTAACGTTAGCTAGCGAGCCAGCCAGCTAACTTTAGCTAGATAGCTAACAGTACACTTTAACTTGAAATGAAAATGACTTTCTGACAAAATGAGAAACGTGTAATATCTGAAAATGTAGCTAGCTAGACTATCTTACCCGTATACATGGATGGACGCTTCTCCCTCTCTGTCACGGATGCCATGGTTGCCCTTAGTTTGAAGATGTAATCCAGAGACAGGTGTTTTATACAACAGCCTTCTGTGTGTTCTTTTTTCGACTCCATCTGCATATTTGCAATCAAATGCCATAATTTTCTCCATCTCCTTAAATATCATACTCTAATTTCATTGATTTCAAAATTCGGTCCTCCAGAAAGTGGAGTGCAACACTTATGCAGTTCTACTATGTGTAGCTCAGTTGGTAGTTGGCATGGCGCTTGCAACGCCAGGGTTGTGGGTTCGATTCCCACGTGGGGCCAGTATGAAAAATAAATAAATTATGCACTCACTAACTGTAAGTCGCTCTGGATAAGAGCGTCTGCTAAATGACTAAAATGTAAATGATATCTTTCAAAAAAGCCACGTTAGAAGGGATTACCTACACATACTGACCAGCTCATATTATAGACAGAACCGTGCTACATGG